TATCTAATAGCGAGATCCGTAATAGCCAAGCCACATTTGTCAACTTTACTGTACCAGCCTACCTCGTAGACATGCCAAGACCAGAACGCGAAGCTCACGGCTGAATGGCATTTTTCTGTTGCCAGGATACTTGATGGTGATCACGAGATACGGTCACGCTATAGGCTTATTGTTCCATAATCACCTGGATTTCAAAGCAACGTGGGTTCCTCTTTACTGGATTACAATGGGCTTACAAACTTGAACAAATTGCCAAGAGTTGAAGCTATCGTGACTTGTAGGCTTGTAAGTTGCAAAGAAGGCTTCAAGTTATAAGCTCCATGATTCTCGCGTCTCGGAAGTCTCATTCTTCAGACCAACACCTTCAGTCAGTCTACCATTCATCTCATCGTTCACCACATCTTCCTTCTCTCTATCCATAACCAAACTCCTAACTCAACCTCAACCTCATCGCCCAACATGCTCTTCACCAAGCTCTCCGCCCTCACAGCCCTCCAGCTTCTCTCCCTCCCCGCGGCCCAGGCCCAAACCGACCCAAACAACAATGCTTCCGCGCCCACCACGGTCCCGTTCTTTACCTGCAACCCCGGCTACCCCGTCTCCTCCGCCGAGCAATCCATAATCTTCACAAACTTCCTCCGCAAGTTTTACATCGAAAAGGACGTCTACCGCGCGGGAGGGGAGCACATCCTGCCCAACGCAATCAACCACAACCCCAACGTCAACGGCGACCGCGACGCCAGCCTGGCCTGGGTTGCGCCCCTCATCGCCGAGTGGAATGTGACTATTACCAACACCGGGTTCGCGGATAACGTCGGGTGGAGCCATGTTAAGGTTGAGGGCCCCGGGATGGGGCGGTATACTGTTGCTGTTGATATTTGGCGGTTCGAGGGGGGGTGTGTTGCTGAGCATTGGGATGCGTTGCAGGTTGCGCCGCCGGCGAATAGGACGAACCCGTTGGAGTTGATTTGAGGTTGCCTAGCTGAGATGGTTTAGGCGGATGTGCCCGAGAACTAGAGGTTTGGCAGACTAGACTGTGTTCACGGCGAGATGGAATCCACATAGCTTGATATTCGCACATAGGGCTAAGTCATAGGTATTAGAGGAGCAGACAATATACTGGTAATAAATGGAGTATCCGCTGTCTTCCATAAAAATCACCAAAGAGACTGATCCTAGGGAATCAGGCCGTTGCCAGCAGATGTCGGCAACTTCTGTCTGGAGCATTAAACTGATGTTTATGACATTGATGACAAAATATCCGGGCTCCGAATACATAGTCGGAGCCAAGTAATTGATTTTGTCGGTAAGGTGGTTCGGAGGGCTGACAAAGTGCCACCTTCTACTCCTGCACTACGTCCACAATTCATTGTGTTCTGAGGGGGTTCTTACCAAGACCTCAGCAGTCTGGAGATAGACGACGGCTTGCATATCGGTAATTCTGGGCCAATGAAGGCTTGCCAGTTGAATCCAATCTTGATGTTTACTTGGCTACATGTCTCTAATTTCTTAAACTACTTACCTAGACAAGCAGTTGGGGCTCTAGCCTTTGGCTCTCGAGCAGATCATCATAGCCAACTCGTCCTGGATGTCCTACAAACTGAGCATTGCTAAGTCGACTATACAATTATAGTAATTCGCTGAAAACAGACTCAATTCATTCAGTCGCGACAAAGTTTTTATATAGTACAGGTCTTCGAAGCTGTCCTGTCCCGAATCGTCAACGTCATTGCGAATGCCTCGTACTCTGTCGGGTGTAAGCTACACCATTAAAGAAAGCCGGTGGGATACCTCCAATTAAGTGCCGACCCAATGTCACACTGGGCAATCTTATATGCTGAACTCTATTTTAGCAAAGGAGTCTTTCTGGACGTCCGAGGCAGCCGGTGAAGATGTAGTACTTAAAAGCTTCTCGCCGTAGTCGCACAAACTGTAAACACATGTGAGCGATCAACACTGTCTCACGTAATCTTCCTCGTCGCATACATACACACACAACATTTGATACGTGGTCATGCTGAATAGCTCTTACTCGATGCAGCAGTTCACCAGGGCCCTATTGGGCGGCCTCTTATCGATCTCCCCCCTCGCAGTAGAAGGCTACTCGTGCTCCTCGCCCGCCGAAGCATGCCTGATCCTCGCCTCCACGCTGCCGCCTGAAGTGTTCACGGCACCGAACACGACAGGCTATCAGTCGGTTCGGGACGGCTACTGGAGCCAAACCGCCGGAGGCCTGAGCCCGGCCTGCATCACACGTCCTAGGACCACCGAGGAGGTGGCGTCCATCGTCAAAGTGCTCTCGACCTGCGGCAACGATGTCCGACTCGCCATCAAGAGCGGCGGCCACGGCTCGTCCCCGAGTTGGTCCAGCACCGACGGTGGCGTCCTCGTCGCCATGGACGCCATCAACGAGACCCAAAACGTAGCAGACAAGGGCTACGCTCTCGTCGGCTCCGGAGCCCGCTGGGTCGACGTGTACAAGACTCTCGAACCCCAAGGCGTGACCGTCATCGGGGGCCGCTTCGCATCCATTGGCGTCGGCGGCCTGCTCCTCGGCGGCGGCATGAGCTACTTCAGCGGACTCCACGGCATGGCGTGCGACAACGTGCTCAACTACGAGGTCGTCCTCGCCGACGGCACGGTCGTCAACGCCAACCTGACCTCCGAGCCGGACCTCTTCCGCGCCCTCAAGGGCGGCGGGAACCAGTTCGGCATCGTCACGCGCTTCAGCCTCAAGACCTACCCGCACGCCAACCAGGTCTGGGCCGGCATCCTGACCTTCTCGCTCGACAAGGCCAAGGAAGTCTTTGCCGCCACGCAGGCCTTCAGCGCCAAATACGACCCCCAATCGCACATCTACCTCAGCATGGGAGGCGGCGCGAACCCGCAGCTGGACTTCCTCAACGTCTACGTCTTCTACAACGCCTCCTCGCCGCCCGCGGGCGACGCCAGCCCCTTTGCGGGCTTCTACGCGGCCAAACCCACGGCAGACAGCACCGCCACGCAGAACTTTTCCGCCCTCATCGCGTCCAACAACAATGGCAACCTACCGCTCAAGCGCTGGCTCATTGGCGGCCACACGTTTCCCAACCTCCAAGGGCAGCAGGGCGCGGATCTCTACCTGCAGCAGTGGCAGAACTTCCGCGACAAAGCCAACGCCACGGCAGCGGGCGACCAGGCGCGCATATTCTCCATGGCACTGGTTCCCGTCCCCGCGGCCGTCACGCGCGCCGGCGATCGCGTTGCTTCCGGCGGCGGCGTCAAGAACGTGATGGGGCTCGATGCGGACGCCGGGGACGCCGCGTGGGTTGACTACACGCTCGCCTGGGCGGAGGCCAAGGACGACGAGAGGATGTTTGGGTTCGTCGAGGGTATCAGTGCGGACGGGGACCGGCTGGCGACGTCTTTTGCGCCGGGGGTGAGGAGCTCGAATGCTGTTGAGGGGGAACGGGCGGTGTCTGCGGAGAAGGCGGCGTTTTATCGGACGAGTCCACGGTATATGAATTATGCGCTTTTGAATCAGCCTGTGCAGGCGAGTTATGGCGTGGAGAATGGGCGGTTTTTGCGGGAGGTGCAGAGGCGGTATGATCCTACTGGGTTGTGGAGGAGGGATGGTGGGTTTCTCTGGGAGTAGGTAGCTCTTGAGCTACTGATAGCCAAGACCCGAGGTATCGATGATAGGTACTGAAGCATATTGAAAAGTCGAACAAACGAGCATTCATCAATTCAAAGACCATTGTGTATAGTGAAGGCCTCAAGACAAGAGAGGTCGAGCTAGACTTCTGGGTCTGGGAGGGAGAAAGAGGGATCAAACCTCTGGATCCTGTGCATTATTCACCTCAACGTGCATTGTTCTATCACTTTGGCTTTATCCTAGACCTTTAATCCCTCACTACTAGTCATACTCTCGCGTTAGAGGCTCTGTGGCGAATACAGAGACGACGAACAGCAATGCGTCACAGTGAGGGCTGAGTGCGGTGGTGCTTAACCTTGGCCACCGATACTGTATAGCAGGCAAAACGATGCCCTTCTCAGATATCACTGGTGTGATGAAGAACAATTCGCAGGAGCTGTCAGCACCAGACATGGAAGAAGGTCGCATAACAGCCATGAGACTTTGGAAAGGCTGTTAATCTTTGCTAAATATTTATAGCTGCTTCTGCTGCTGATGGTCACGTTGCCGTCGTCTTGGCTCGACCCAACATTCAAGCATATGCCAACAACCATGCGCTGCTTGCTCTTAGGAGAATCTCCGTCAGTGTAAGCAGCTAACGAGTCAATGTCGCATGTGTCTGGCAAGCTTTCCAAAAAGAAGAATCTCAAAGTATCGGTGGCCATCATGAGTCGCTTTTTTTTAAAAAAAAAGATCAGGAGCACAACTTACCCATAGATGCGTTCCTTGCTTTCTGGCTGGCTGACGCTTCAACTGCGCTTTCCACTTTTACTTCATCACTCACAATCGCGTTGATATTCAAACTGAAATGATTACGCATGGACTTGATCAGGAAGCAGCTGGAAAATAGGGAGAGTGGAGGAATACCGGTGCGTCTAGAAAGTCCATTGTGGTATCAATTGGACAAGAACATGTGTAACATGGTTTCACTTTCAATTATATGTCTTGTATTCGGTCCGCCTGTGAAGGGCATATTGCAAGCTATGATCGCTTCAGTCTCAAAAGTGGAGCATATTTGCTGCCATCAGAAGGTAGTTGGTAGAGAAAAGCATATGGACTCCAGATTCCCATCATGATTCGTGACTCGTGAATCGTACAAAGGTAAAACAACTCAACCGCCGTCGCCTCAGTCTGAGCTGACAGTAGGCCAATCTACTGTCTTTCTCTGTAGCCCATCAGCATTCATGATCGGGGCTCGTATGCTAACGGCTCTTACCTTTTAACCTTGATATTACAAGTCTCGACTTCTCCGTGGACCATGTCGGAGGCCCAATTGTGTAACTAGTAAATGACCGAAATTCGATCAAAAGATGCACATATGACAGCATCACTCCTCGGCCGGTTCAACCTCAGCATCGGAAGGCCTTGTCTCACGCGCCTTCTCAGCGCGACCTTCGCCAGCCTTGACGACCCGCCGAAGGACGCTCATCTTGCGCTCGAAATCCTCGAGCAGCGGTCCGTACTCCTCGCTCCCAGACTTGGCTACGCCGCTGTTAGAGCTGGGCAAGCTCTCGGCACGATCCTTCTCCTTGTCAGCCATCATTGTTGCGCCCTCGCTTTCGACGCCCTCAATCTTGAGCACCAGTCCGCCCTCCTTCTCGCCCTCCTGACGAGATATGCTGGCGTCGGTCACGGCAAAGTCTGCGCTAAGGCTAGCGACGGAGGAAACCTTCCATTGGCCGTCTTCACCTGGAACGACATCGAGGAGGACGGCTCGGTTCGGGTTCGGGTTCGGGTTCTTCCCGGGCCCGGATTTGGAGGTCGAGGCCGAGGGGGTCGAGATTTGGTTCGAGGAGTGATGTGCTGCGAGGGCGGTTGTGAGGGTATCCGGGTCATCGTCTAGGAAGATGTACTTGACGGTCGGGTGATGAGTGGTGTTGGCCGTGGAGTTGGAGACGAGGGTAAAGAAACCGGCGGGATCGAGCTTGGGCAGAAGGGCTTCGTCGACGGCCTCGTTCTCAGCTGCGTCATCTGCTTCCAACGTGGGGATGATGGCCGTTGTTGTATCGGTGCCAAGCTTGTTGTCGGATGGTGAGCCGGCAAGGGCGGCCTTCTGGCCTTGTGAGAAGGACGAAGACAAAGGCGCCTGGGCGGGCTGTTCGGCCTCGGGGCGCGGGGACGTCGGGACGTCGGCCATCGTCAGACGGTATAGTTCCTCCGTGGTCGCGTGATCCTTTCGAGGGGGGATGTATTCCCAGGGTGGTCGGGGTCGGCGAGGCGGGCGGCGGGGAGTTGAGTTGTTGGTATCGACAGTGTCCCTCGCGTCGCGCTGACTGTCATCTTTTCCTGGGATAGTATGGGAGCTGCGGTCGGAGGTGGTCTCGAAGATGAGCTGCAGGGTGGCACGGGAGCTAGCTGGATAGCTGTTAGGCGCCATGGTGGAGCGGTTCCAGGCTGCTGGGGACAGCTTATCGCTATCGCCACGTGACAGCGGGGTGCCTGATCTGGCATGTGATTGCGAACCTCCAACCTTGAACATCAGCTCAACAAGTAGAGGTATAAGATCGGGAAACTGCATTGCCCTCAACAGTGATCTCGTGTCAGAGACATATTTAGGAGAATATTCTACGACAACTCATGATCCTCTGACTTCTTCTTCGCATGCACAGTCAAGCTAAGACCATGCTTTTCTCACCTCAGGCGTTGGTCTCAGGTCAATGGAACGAGACGTGATTGTTGAAAGCGTCTTTGCTTGTCACTGCCACTAACACTATAATATTGATCAATCTTGATCCGAAGAATTCTAGACCCTAAGTGGGAATCTTTTTCTTTGGCTCGCGATGGGGAGGCTGACAGGACCAGAAAGTCTGTCCGCCAGTCCAAAAGAGCCTTCGTAAGGGTCTTGGGTATCGCTAAAAACAGTTCGCCAAACGCCAACCATGTCAAATCATTTCCATGAGAAACCCCTAGCTCTCATTTGTCTCATTCTTTGGATCAGTGAACTCGAATTCTAGCATGTGTCAGTTGGGTGTTGAGTCAAAGAGAATGTTGTCAAACATATGAGATGAAACTTACTTTGACGGCACATTGGGCATTGGCCCTTTGCTGAGTCCTGCTTGATCCACTCCAGGATGCAATGCTTTGACTTGTGTCAGCATAGGCAATACGGTGATAAGCAAAGACAAACACTTACCATATGGAAGTTGTGACCACACTTGCCAGACACTAGTTGTTATTAGTTACGCAATGGTGTTATGGGAGGTTGGAAAGAACATACGGATGCTGCAGTCATCGCCAGGGTATTTGCAGGTTGGACATGTGCCGTCAAAGTGGACTTGGCAGATACCACAGACATCGTCTTCTGGGATATCCCACCGCCACGTCGCGACGGTGTTCCACCGGGTGATCTTAACCTTCATGAGGGATGTTGTTGTCGCTAGGGTTTGATATCTGGGGAATATGATTCGTTTGTCGTCAGTGTTTTCAGATAAACACTGTTGCGAGAAAGAGTGATATGCTTGAATGAGACCCTCTGTTTCTTTGCATGAAGTGGTAATCTTGTTGTCGTGATTTTAGCCCTGGGGCTTTTGTTTGTTGGAGTTGGGAAGGCGGGACCACGGCGGACTGGCAACTGCCCATGGAAGGTGGGACTTGTGAAAACTGCGGGGCAACAGGGCCCTGCAGCCAGTCAATCATGTCAAAACCAGATGGCGACATGGCCCAAGCTCCCCGCATTCACGCCAACCGTTCCCACTTCCGGAGTACGTACAGCCAGTCGGCCACCGCACCTTGTCGCTTTTTGCTTCGTTTTCCCAGGCGGTTTGTCGCGATGCTCCACTTAAACGGAGTCACTGGTGACCGGCCGGACCCCGACCTCCTCTGTCTCCTCCCGCTTATCACTGACTGGGAACCAGTGGACGCCCCCCGAATTCCTGCGACTCTGACAATCCCTCCAAGGTAGAGGGTACCAATCCCATTCCATCCAATCCTTGCGGCCTGGCTACATTGCTCCTTCTCCAAAAAATCCCGTCCGACACCACCACCCATAACCACCAGTCCACCACCACCAGTAGTGACCACCGACCGTGGCGTCCAACAAACAACCATCAGCAAAAGGGAAGAAAACGGTAGTGACGGCAAGCCTCATTTAGAGCTTTCCCCTCTTCCACATTACCTTCCAATTACCTTACCTCCAACCCCGCACTGAAAGCCACCACATGCAATGCCTCTGCGGCTCAAGCATTTGTGGTGATTTTCCTCTTTCCCTGTAACCCTTCCGAAAGGTAAAGGCCCAGCGTTCCGGGCTCCCGCCCATTGCCGTCGTCACCGACTGATATCGACCGACACCGCTCCTCCCGACCCGGCAATCCCTCCCAACCTGATCTGACATCACCCGCCCATACCAGAACCAGTTGATCCAGACACAGTCAAAATGGTTACCATCGCTATTCTACGACCCGCGCGCGGCACAAAGCTGTCGCAATTCACTGCGCGCTCTCTCCAGGCCACCGCCGCCTTCGCTGCCCGCCGCTCCTTCTCCTCCTACCTCGTCACCCCCAAGGAGCTCGACGAGGCCCTCAAGAAGAACCCCCCCTCCAAGATCAGCCCCGAACCGCGCACCATTCCCCTTTGCGCCTCCTGGTTCCTTCCCAACGATGGCCGCACCGGCATTGAGGTCTACCGTCAACAGCGGATTCCCAAGGCCCGTTTCTTCGACCTCGACAAGGTCATTGACCGCCGTAGCGAGTACCCCCATATGCTGCCTTCCGCCAAGGACTTTGCAGCGGCCATGAGCGAGCTGGGCATCCGCAAAGAGGACACCGTCGTCGTCTACGACACCAAGGAGCTGGGCATCTTCAGCGCCCCGCGCGTCGGCTGGACCCTCAAGATCTTTGGCCATCCCAAGGTCCACGTACTGAACAACTTCAAGCTCTGGGTCGAGCAAGGTCTTCCTACCGAGTCTGGCGAGCTCTATAATGTCGAGTGCTGTACCTACCCCATCCCCAAGTTGGATGAGGGTAAGGTCGCTGAGTTCGAGGAGGTGCGCGAGATTGCGCTGGACCACAACAAGGAGGGCGCAGAGGGTGTACAGATCCTTGATGCGCGGTCTCCCGGCCGTTTCGCGGGCACCGATCCGGAACCCAGGCCTGGTCTGTCGTCTGGCCACATGCCCGGCTCCATTAACATCCCGATGACCGCTGTCCTGGATCCCGAGACCAAGACGTTCTATCCCGCGGAGAAGCTCAAGCAGATTTTCCAGGAGAAGGGTGTCAACCCTGAGAAACCCATCGTCTCGAGCTGCGGAACCGGCGTAACTGCCTGTGTCATTGAGACCGCTCTCGAGGAGGCTGGATGGGGCTCTCCTGAGACGCGCAGAGTCTACGATGGAAGCTGGACGTAAGTTCTATTAATTCTTAACAATACCTGGACTTTTGATAAGCTGACATATTTCATAGTGAATGGGCACAGCGGGTCAAGCCTTCTGACTCACTCATCAGGAAGAACGAGTAAGAGATGGAGCGAGAGAGTGCAGTGTCGAGTTGCGTCTAGTTGCGATACCCTCACTACCCCACTTCTGGTTTTCTCTGGTTTTCATGTACGATATCCGGCACATCACAGCTTTGGAGTTTGCATTGCGCATGGGAGAGGTTCGTCAGCCTTTTTGGTCGTTTAGGGGAGGGACGCAGGTGGCTGGTGTACATAGCAGGCCACGGTAATGGATCACGATTATGGACAATTTGTGTGTTTGGATGCCTTGCAGTGCGCATATGAGTGAGGAGAGAGAATGTGTGTCGACAAGGTACGTCCCGGTACTATGGGTATGTTCATAACTGACGAAGCTGCAATTTCTCTCCAACTTGATGCCCGAGAACATCCTACCCAATTGAAGTGCGAGACCACCCAAACACAGTGAGCTTGCACGCGTGACACACTGTATTCTAACTCGGTGTGGTTCGGTGAGCAAACCACCCAGGTGGAGACCCCCACCCTTCACCTTGGATTCCTGCCTCGAAGCTCAGGCCACCCTCTTAGGGCTCGCCAAACCCGTCCAATGAGCCCGCCTTGAGCACAATCGCAAAATATTCAGCCGGCCCTGACAGCCACCACAGACCCCCGCAAAAAAAAGTTGTACCCGAATCGCGAAATAACTTCCTCCCCCTTCGAAACACCACGCAACCGGACTAACCGCAGCAGCAGTCTCTTTCACTCGCGCGCTCAACACACCTTACCCGACGACACAAAAATGGCTGACCGTGGTGCAAGCGCCCCCGCCCGTGGAGGTGGTGGTTTCGGAGCTCGTGGCGGTGACCGTGGCCGTGGACGTGGCCGTGGTCGCGGACGTCGCGGCGGCAAGAGCGAGGAGAAGGAGTGGCAGCCCGTCACCAAGCTCGGTCGTCTCGTGAAGGCCGGCAAGATCAGCTCCATGGAGGAGATCTACCTTCACTCCCTGCCCATCAAGGAGTACCAGATTGTCGACTTCTTCCTGCCCAAGCTCAAGGATGAGGTCATGAAGGTGCGCACACACAACACTCCAATTCGACCGGGAACCGAGATCGATTTTCGCAGACGACGACGCAACAATCGCCAATGCAGATGAAGATTTGGGTTCTCGGGCGTCATTTGAGATATCAATGCTGGTTTTTGGAGAGGGAGGGAAATGCTAATTCGTGGTTTCTTTTCCCCAATTGCAGATCAAGCCCGTCCAGAAGCAGACCCGTGCCGGTCAGCGCACCCGTTTCAAGGCCATCGTCCTTATCGGTGACTCCGAGGGACACGTCGGTCTCGGAATCAAGACCTCCAAGGAAGTCGCTACCGCTATTCGCGCTGCCATCATCATCGCCAAGCTTAGCGTCATCCCCGTCCGTCGCGGTTACTGGGGAACCAACCTCGGTGCCCCCCACTCCCTGCCCACCAAGGAGTCTGGAAAGTGCGGTTCCGTCACCGTCCGTGTATGTACACCCCGAAATCGACTCTGCGTATGAAACGAAGATGGGAAGACTGACTAGATGGAATCCTACAGCTCATTCCCGCCCCCCGCGGTACCGGCCTTGTCGCCTCCCCCGCCGTCAAGCGTCTCCTCCAGCTCGCTGGTGTCGAGGACGCCTACACCTCCTCCGCCGGTTCCACCAAGACCCTCGAGAACACCCTCAAGGCCACCTTCACCGCCGTCTCCAACACCTACGGCTTCCTTACCCCCAACCTGTGGAAGGAGACCAAGCTCATCAGATCGCCTCTCGAGGAGTACGCGGACACCCTGCGTGAGGGCAAGAAGTACTAGAGGATGTGCGAATGATGGGGAGAACGTCGGCGGCGAGGAGATGAGAAGAACAAGTGTCGGCTTCGGGATTTCTTCATGGAGTTGCGTGTGTTACACTGCATCGTTGGTTGGCCAGGGCATGACATTAAGGCTAAGGGCAAACTAGCTCCGGATCTGAAAATAAAGATCAAACATTGAATGCAGCCGACGGGTTTTTCAAAAAATAAGTACGGGCATGAATTTTACGATACCTTCCAGACAACGTCCCCTCGGCCGAGTGATATCATGTTGAAGCGCCATTCTGCGGAGCAATTTGGGATTCGAAAAGGATGGGTAGAAGTAATGATTCGGCAGCAGCATCGCCGGCAACTAAACGTTTCAAAAATCCTTGATCAAGCGACATAGGGACGTCGACGGGCCACGGGACAGCGCATTAGATATTGACCATCATTCTACCTACTGCGCTGATACTTGAAGAGTTTCTCGACATACACCTACTTGGTCATGTTTTCTAACCTTGAGGATGTACGGCAAAATATAAGTTCTCGGGACAGAAGGTACAAGCCATACTAGGAGGGAAGGTAACGATAATCTGGCTCTGTTTATAGATCTAGGCCCTGCGTACATAATGCAGCATACGAACACTCGCTCGATACCTGATTCACATTGACACCACCCAATCACAAAGCGCACAGTTGAAACGTGCACATTTCAATGAAGTACGAGGGATATGTTCATGATAACACGGATCTAAAAGTACGAAGCACACGTAACCAACTCCCACCCAAAACGTCTCAAGCAAACCACGAACAAGAGATACCCTCTCGTCTTAACCCAACCAATGAGGCCTACTTCTCCGAATCGCTACCCTCCTGAGCCGCGACGTTAAATCGCACTCGTCTCTGCCGCGGTGGATGCCGTGGTGGGAACAGCGACTGCCGGCCCGTCGCCGGCGTCGGCTGAGTTTCCTCCGCACTAGCCCCACCCGCTACCGACGACGTCCTTCGCCCCGAGGGGACCCAGGCCGGAACGCTTCTCGGCACCAGGTCCGGATCAATTTCTATCAATTCAGGGATTTCAGCGCCGGGCGTCTGGACCGCCTCACGACTGATCCATCCCGTTCCGCGAGGCGCAATGCCGTCGTTGGGAAATAGCTCTTCTGTAAGATAGAAGAATTAGTAAATCAAATCACACTTCTGTGTCGGTGATGATTGTGGGCGCAATTCGGAGGACTCACCATTAATCATCGCCTCCGCACGCCTCTCAAGATCCCGCCTCTGCGACTCGGTATCGCCACCCCAGTACTCCGTCACACCAGGGAAAAACTCGGTCCTCCGATCGTCGCCAACATGATACGGCACAGAAAGCATCTGCGCTATCTGCGTCTGCCGAATCTCGTCCGCAGTAGGCCTCACGCTCTCCGCGAGCCTCGCCATCTTCGTCCGCAGCTCGTCGGCCTCGGCCTGCTTCCGCAACCCCTCGTCCGTCACGCTCCGCCTGATCTCTTCCTGCCGCTCTCTGCTCTGCAGATGCACCGGCCACCGGTTCATCGAAAAGAATTGCCGCTTCGTCTTACCGCACACGCCGGGAGACGCCCAGTCCCAGATCCGCTCGCGGTGCAGCGTCATGAAGCGCTTGTCGTCCCGGCGCCTGTGGAACCACCGCGGCCGACTGGGCCACAGCGTCCCGTGGCCCCGCGAGAGCTCGTCTATGATGCCCCGCCGGACGACCTCGCGCGCTTCTTCCTCCGTCATCTCCTCCGTCCACGTCTGCGGCTCGCCTGCCTTTACGACGCTCTTGTACGACACCCGCGGCGTGACCGTGTCCTCCTCACCGGGCCTGTCCCGCGAGAAGCTGCTGCCCCACATGCCCAGGACGTCCTGCAGCTGCGTCTTGCGGTACTCCCAGTCGTTGCCGTGATTAAGGCGCTGGCTGATGATGGGGAGGTTCACGACGCACCTGGCGAGCTCGACGCCGAGGCGGTAGCCGAGGGTCCAGAGGAGCTCCTTTGTCAGCGTGCGCGTCAGGTTGATCTCGTCCAACTTTGCGAAAGCCGAGGGCCATTCCCACGTGCCGAATGGGTTTGGAACGTTGAGGCGGTGGTACAAGAGCTTGTTCTGGTCCGTTTCTTGGGCCCAGTCGGTGCCTATGTCCCAGTTCATGCGGTGTTCTGGGTGCCAGTCGTTTTTGGGTCGGCTTATGGAGACCTCGCCAGTTTCTGAGCGTTCGTAGCTGAGAGGTTTCGTTTTGTTAGTATCATTTCTTTTTACACTTTCATCAGATGAGGAATGGATTTACGTGAGTCTTCCATATTCGGCCAGCACCTTGCTGTACTTATTCACCAAATCATCAGTGAAGAAATAGTCGCCCGTTCGAATCCCGTCGTTGAGGGCACCGGCAACCCGCGGCAGCGTGTTCTTGCGATCCTGCCCCGCAAAGAGACACACCTGGCTCGGCTCGTTCAGCAGCGCCTGCATCCGCGCGACAAACACGTCAAAGTCGCGCCCCAGCTTCGGGAGCACCGACTGCTGGGCCTTGACCGTCGTGGACGGCCCGCAGACAAACTTTAGCCAATCCACCTCCCATTGTTTGAGGGGGCGACAGTGTCCGCCGTTCTTCTCCCGATGGGCAGCCAGGACCTCCTCCACGTCCCACGAGGGCGCCCCCTTGAGCCCGTACTCGATGTTCTTGATCACGCCCTCGAGCATCTCCCGCGGATCTTTATTGTACGCACTCGTGAGTTTCTCGCGGAGGATGCGCAGGTGATGAAAGTCGATGAGCACCCTCCTCTCGCTCTTCCTCAAGAAATGCCAGGGTGTGACGGGACCGTACAGCTGCTCGGGGAGCCTCACCGTGTCCTTGTCGACCCCCATGTCCTCCAGCATCTTCTCGTTACTACGCACCGTTTTCTTCCACAATGTATACGCGCGGTCGCGATTGGCAGCCTGCATCTGGCTATGCCAGTACGTGATACCGAGCGGGTCAAGCTTGGTCCCCGGCGGCGGCGCCTTGACAGAGTGAGGCTTGTACACGATATCCCGCCTCGCATCAGCCAGCGCAGCCGCCTTCTCCCTCTTGGTCAGCGGCAGCACCAGTTTTCGAAAGGGACTCGCGAGCGCCACGTTCTCCTCGCTGTTGAAATGCGAGAGACACTGCTGCAGCGCCGCGCGCTTTGCTCCGCGAAAACGGGCGAAGCGCTGCTGCGTCTCGCCCTCGGGGTAGAATTTCTGCAACTTGCGCGTCTTGCCCTCGTCCTCGTACGTGTTGACCTCGCCGCCGACGTACTCGTCCATGAGGAGGTAAAAGTTGGCCTCGCCGTGGAGCTCGTCCGAGGTCGTCTCGGGCCCTCCCGTCATGCATTTTGCGAACCACTCGTCTTCCGTGAGCGCCATGTTGAAGTCTGGCTCGTACCCGAACCTCTGCCCGCGCTCTCCCGAGCCGGGCGCCTCGTCGCTGTTCGGGTCCGCGGCCCACACGAGGTTCCCGTCCTCGCGGAACCACTTGAGAAATGCCATTCGTAGCAGCGGCCCGGGGATCTGGTAGTCGACGTCCTGGACGGACTCGGGCACGCGGTGTAGGAGGTAACGAGGCCGCACGGGATCCCTAGCCCTCTTCTCGACGACGATGTCGCGCCCGTCGAGTAAGGGTGGCAGTCGCGTGCTGACGGCGCCCATTTTGGGGAAATCGACGACGAGCTTCTTCGTGCCGTAGTGGTGCTCTTCGAACAGCTTGTGGGTACGCAGCATGCTGATCGCCTCGCGGAGGTCGACGTACCAGTCCTTTTCGGTGACGCCGTCCATGCGGATGCAGTACTGCAAGAACTCGCCAATCTCGGCACACTTGCGCTCCCAGTCGAGGGTGCGGTCAATGTCCTCGTCCGCGAGGAAGTTTTTGATGCGGACGAGCTGGAGTTTGGGTGCGGGGACGCGCCAGCCCTTGTAGTCGATCATGCGCAGGTCCTCTTCCGTGGTGGCGGGGTCTTGTCTGAACCAGTTGATGAGCCACTGGCTGTCGTAGGGTCTGCTGCGGAGGTCTTCAGAGGTCTCGCCGTCGTTTCTAGTGGTAGTGGTAGCAGCAGCATCGGCATCTTCGGGTTCGGGGTCGACCATATCGACGTCGGATGCCTCTGATGCGGTGCTGGGCGATGCGGATTCGGAAACATAGATTTCTCTAACGGGAGTGAAGATACGAGGGGGTTGTGTCGATGGAGGGGCGAGGGCAGAGTTTCTCACGAGACGACTGCCGCGTCCAGATCGGCTTGCGGGTAAACGATGCCCAGTGGATGATGATGTGCCGGCGACGGTGATATAGGGGGCAGTCGTATCATCGCGCGGAGGCGTTGCCCTGGTGTCCAAAACGAAAGGGGATTTCACAGGACCTTGAGGCTTTGGAGGCGACTCCGTAACTCCCGAGAAGCGAACAGAAGCTCTTCCTTCCTCACTGCCTCTAGGCAGTCTTTCGGTGGTAGTCGGACGGCTGGTCTTTGGTGGCTGACCTCTCTACGTCAGCTTAATTCTCAAGGGCAACTCCTTGGGTCTATCTGACTTACACGTAACCGTGAACCTTTTCGGCCCTTGTCTTTTTGGCTGCTGCGAGAACCCTCGCCTCGAGTTGATGTTACTGTCTTTAATTTAGACTTTGTCCGAGTCCGACTAGTCGTGGCCAAGGCAGCTAACGCACTCGGGGGCATCCTTTCACCCTCAGAATCATCTCTTTCCCATTCCTGAGCTGAGTCATCCTCGTTATCTTCCTCCTCGTCTTCCTCTTCATCATCGTCATCGTCTGGTGGAGAGTTCCGTTCAGGATGCTTGTACTTCGTCGACCTCCTGATGAAATGGTTGCTGCTGTAATAGGGGTCAAGGGTCTGCGGCCACTTCCAGTTTCCGGGGTTATCGCGGGCACGCCACTCCGTCGTAAAGGGGTTCCTGGGTGCCTCTCCGCCCTCGGCAGGGGCTCGCGGTACTGACTCAGGCTGGACCGGCTCTTCGTCGGCGAGGAGGCTCGACTGACCTGCGTACGTCGAAGGACCGTACGTACCTTCGGGTCCGTCCAGACACCCAGTGGTATCCGGGCCGCCGATGCCCTCTCTCTCCTCTCCCACACCATAAGCAGGACGGCCTTCGCCTTCCACCAATCCAGATTCGGTCCTCATCTTTGCTGCGACGGCTTCGATCTCGGCCTGGGAGAAGCTGGTGCCCTCGAAACCCAGGACCTTGGCCCACCTTTCTAGATCGTCGCCGCCTTCGACAAGCTTCCTGAGCATGATATCTCTCTTCCGGTTTTCCAAACTCCGACCGTCGTCTTCGGCTGCCTTGGCTTGCGCGGCGAGATCCTCGACGCCCTCTTCTTGGGTCACCCCCCAACGAGCGTCTCCGAGGTCCGCATCTTGAAGCCACTCGTACCGTTGACCGTACAGACTTGCCATGAGCCCGCGGAAGTCCGCATTACTATGAAGAATCGCATCGATCTTGCGTGTGGAGATGAGTGTCTCTATGTGTTCGAAGAGGCGATGGGGTTCTGGGTTATCGAGTGCGAGACGTGTAGCTTCCCACGTATCGGAAGGGAACCTGTGATATTGCCTTCTGACCATATCGGCCAGTTCAGCTTCAGTACGGTTAGACTGTGGACATCACGATTTTGGCTTAAGGTGACACTCACGCATCCTTGCTTGCGCCATCCTGGCTGCTGTTGCTTGTGCTCAGAGGTCTCTTGTTAGACTTGCGAAATCAACAACGGTAAAGGTAAGGGAACAACCCAGGATGGGGAGAGAACAGAACGCCAGACTTGAGAGGGAAAAGCCCAAGCTCCCAGGTAAATAGGAGCTGTGACGCTGCAGGCAACTGTTTGAGAAGAAGGGTCACCTTGCGCAAGATAGGGACATTGGGGAGCAAAACCTGACAAAAGGAACGGGGAAGTTTGAGAAAGCAGAAAGTTGAAGGGAACTCGAGTTTCCGCCCGACTTGCGAAACACTTCCATTTTACGATTTTCAAAGAGCCAGATAGATTCTCTCAATGACTTAATCTGTCGCATTATGGTCAATGTAAAGAGCGCATCACAAGGAGGCATTGCGGTCTTTCCATGCGACCACAAAGACCTCCAACAACGGCGACAACAAAGAAAGGTAACTGACAGAGGGAGGAAAGGGATAGATGGTCAATGTTTCAACAATGCATTCGGGACGCGATATTGCATTGCCTGTTCCGGTCGTGCTCTCTCGCTAGAATAGCTTTTCTATTTGCGACAGAGCACACGGTCTGTTTCTTTGACGTGTGGTTTTGTGATTGTCGCAACAGCGGCTACCTGATGTTGGCGCGAAGCCGCGAACCCCAGCAACTATGACATGAGGTTTGAGACCAGACATTCGGATGTTGACAGGCCGCATGTACTAAGGATCGAACAGGAGAAACCTTGGTTCTCTCCTGTCATCTCCAAGCAATGGGCTTCCAGCGAAAGTAGAAAAGGCTTTCGCAGACTTCTGCAAGTAAATCAATGCAGCAAAGACTCGTTCCTTCTTCTGCCATAGGAACTTTCCCTTCACGGCAAGAACAATGTCTCGTCAGCAGAGTTCTGATGATTCTAGCTCCGACAGCATGGATGCTCACATTCGCGACTCGCCTGTTGCCGTTTCGCAATTCCCGTCACAGCCAGAGTCTAACTCAGCCCATGTCGAAGATGGCAGCCGCGAAGAGGCTGACGTGTGCAGCCCAGAAGAAGCTGCCCGTCGTCTAGAAGTTGAAGCTCACGAACGAGAGCTCGACGAGCAAATCCGCATAGAGATAGAGGCTCAAGAACGCGAGGCTCTATGGCGTCGCCGAATGCAAGCCGAGAGTCCCAGCAACAACCCCCAAACTTCTCAGGCACCATCCCAAACACCATCTCTAGTCATCGGCGCACCACTGGGCAAGAATCTCACCGTCATAGAAGCCGCGCGCCGCCTCGTAGCTCAATGGGAAGCTATCCACGAGTCCACACTTTCATCGACCCCAGACGCCGCCGGCCCCATCCTCGAAGAACTAACACAAGCACGCGCCCAACTCGATGCTCTCACTGCCCAACAACAACAGCATCATGGAGAAGAAGACACACACATCCCTCTCCTAGACGAAGACCCAATAACAACGCCTCTAAGCTCGCTCCAAGCACACAAGGACCAAGCTATCGCCTCCAGAATCAAGTTCCTCACAGACTCCCTCCAAGACTCCTCCTTCCCCCCAGAGCACGCCAACATCGCCGCCGCAATTTCCCTCTACCGCGCCTCCTGCATACCATACTCTGCCAACTGGGCCCTCATCTACGCTGGCCACCTCGTCGACTTTGCGCCGACATACGCCTCCTTCACCGCAGATCGCGCCACCCGCCTAGCACGCTACAGCCGCCTTCACGGCGAAGGGTGGCTCTGGATCGAGCCGCCTCTGGCCCGTGACGCCGGCGGCGGCCCCTCGCCCTTCTTCTCCGCGCGCAAGAGTACTTTTCTCCCAGAGACGGACTCGACATACGACATGGGTCACTACAGCGTCACCATGTCGTTCCGCAGGATGAAGTCCCTCGCGTACTGCGGCGCGGAGCCGCTACTGAGAAGCATGGCCGTGTCCAAGAAAAGGAAGCACGAGGAGTGCAACGACAACGACGAGGAGGCGGCAATGGCAAACTTGAAAGACTGGCCAGTCGTCGCCGAGAACGAAGAATACGACGACCTCGACGCAGCTTCAGACTCGGACTTGCCTTGCTTCCCTCCTCGCTATACCAGAAATCCCAAATCGCGCACACCATCATCTTCCTCTCGAGCAGGTATAAAACCCCCATCCGCCCTCCGCCGAAACCGCCCGTCGCGCCACCCACACATGGCCCGCGACCCCTCGGCGCCGACCCTCCACTTCCGCACCCTCCTCGACAGCGGCGCGACGCTGCCGATGCTCTACAACCGCGACGCACGCGCCCTGGGCATCGAGCGCGGCTCCTACGCCGCCGTCTCCCGCATCTCGATCGAGACGGCCTCGGACACGGTGGCGACATGGCTGTACGAGATGGAAGTCGCCGTCGTTGACACGGTCACCTGCGAGCCCCTCGTCTCGGCGTCGTCGCCCGTCTGGCCGGCGGAGGAGCCTATGTTAGGCGGGATCACGCTGGTGATGGTAAACGGCTCATCCAAGACCGGAACTGGTTCTTTTGCGTCGCCTCGTGGAGGCATGGACGCTGTGGCCAAGACGACGGCGGAAGGTGGCACGACGTTTCTTGAAAAGGCGACAAGTTTGGTTGATATGGCCGAGGGCCGCGATTACGGCCGGCTTTCCGGGCTTTTGCCGTTCAAGGTGTGCTATGTGCAGAGCACACCTGGGCTCCGGACTATCTGGATGGGCGAGGACCGGCGTGATGTGCTGGGTGCGCATCGGATGCCCGGCCAGATGCGGTGGGCGCCGGGGACGGGGAAGGTGTGTGACCCGGGTCATCCAAGGGAAGTGTGGAAGACAGTCTGTCGAGATGATGGCGGGAGGCCTGCGGTGCTTCGTATGGAATATGAAAAGGCGGCGGCGATCTCTGGTTGTGGGGAGAAAGGGGTAAGCTTGGTTGATGTTGAGGAGAAGGGATGGAAGGGACGGAGTGAGGTCACAGTCACGGATGAGAATGGCGTCAGGGCGAGGCATGTCATTGAGCCTAGGACATTGGATTCGCAGCGAGAGAAGCAACGTAAGAAAGTTAGATTATTTCAGTAGGTGGTTAAAGAACAGCGCCATTATTCTGTGACCTTGAAGTCTGGATTCTGTCAGGGTAGGAGGATTAGGTTTGTCAAAGTTTCGTTCGGGCATCAAGCTGGACGATCCAGTTGATCTGGTTGCACCGACTGGATCTATTCCCCCTGACATCAAGTCACTCAAACGACCAAGAACCGACGCAGAACGCATCGAACAAGATGAGAGATTCAAACGTCAAAAGAAAGCATGGGATGCTATAGTCAGTCTTCAGTCCCAATGCCAAAACAGATACAAACAGTATCAAGACGACTACAACACTGCAGAGCCTCCCGTCGACCCTGCAACTTGGTTCGATTTAGCAACACCGAGCTCTTCGCAACCAGGCTCGTCAGGCTCGTCAGGTCATAGATCCTCACAATCCGGATCTTCGACGGGACAGTGAACGACGGATCAGATAGATGCTTATGGAGTATTAAATACTGAGTAATAGCTTTATGCCCACATGCCGTTCACTTCCCTCATGACAGTGCGTGCCAACTCTCTTTTCCCAAACCTTTTGCTTTCATCAAAAGACTTGGATGATTCCAGCCTCCCAAGGTAATGGCATAAAAACATCCAACACCCGAGGAAGAAAAAGTCCACATTGAACTTCCATAAATAACACAGTTTGCGTGGATGCCCGTACTCTGTACCACGTCCGCAATCTGCTGATACCGATAGCATAAACTACTCTTCATACACTCATATATCCATCATTACACATCGTCAACATCAACCAGCGGTGAAGCTGTCAGGACTCAGAAAAGGGGGGGGGGGGTCCGCAAATCATTACCCCGAAAGCATTGTCGAGTGTCGACAACCCCCCTGATGCTGTTCTCATGCAAATCTCGGCAGCATCCGCCCTCAAGGGTCACCGAATAGGTATTCCGTCATCTCGCCTCGCCCTGGTGCTGCACGGGGTTCGATTGTGACTCTGTGAGTTCCGCGTGTCATGAACAAAGTGGAAACGCAATGCCAAAAAATGACAAGTCTATCGATAATTCGATGTGTCCGTAAGGCAAAGAAAAGAAAACGAGGCTTCTGCGTGGCGGTCAAGAAATCAAGGGGACAGATGTTCCAGGGATATACGAATAGAGTTGGCAAAACGTGACTAGCTAGGCACTCGCTTCGTGTCATCTCTGCTATCAATAGCATCGATAATATCCGTAATCCACCGACAAACAGACTTAGTAAGCAGTGAAAGAAAGAAAGAAAAAAAACACTTTCTGCCATGCCTCCTTGCATCAACAAAGAACCAATTGCTTTTTGGGGCCGTCCGGCTGCCTTAGGCCTCTTGCTCGTGCGTGCGGGTGGCTGTTCGGAACGGGATTCCTAGTATAGGGCGACTCGGAAGGGGGAACGGAGATGACAGCCCGATTCGAGTCCGACGTTCTCTTTCTTTCGAGGCGGCGGGCTGGGCTTCGACATGGGAATATCGATGCCTCTGCGGCCTGCCCATCGCGATCTGCCGGGGGGGAGTACAGCAACGCCAACGGCCGAATTGAAAGGCGGCCTCGAAGGCTCGATTCGCTCGAAGCTCCCCCCAAGAAACCCACTTGCACACTGTTGGTCGAATACGAATCGCCCGCCTTGCTTGCTCCTGAGTCGTTCCCCGGTCTAGTGATCACAGAAAATCGAACAATGACTGAATAAGCCAGACGGACTCCAATCCACTCGAGTCCTGTCACTCCGCCCAATTTCCCCAGTATCAGTAAAGGCGTCTTTTGGTCTCTGGACCAGCCCGCCAACGCCGAAGTAACGAGCTGGAAGCCTAGGAACCTCACTCGCCGAGACCCGGCCACCCAAAGTATCGCGCAATCGGAGAATTAGGGCGGAGTCTTTTCCCCCAAGGGCCCCAGACGCAGGAGATTGTAGGCCGCGAAGAGGGATTGACGCGATTTGAGCTAGGCCTGGGGCTGGTTCTGAGTTCATGGCCCAGTGGCCAATAAGCGGCCTTGGACAATGCATTTCGCACCCGTCCCAGGCGTCCCTATGGCCGTATTTCCCAAACAACCAGGCATGCCGTTCGCGCGAAATCTTGTTTTGCGTGCAGGCTTACGGTGGGGGAGCCAGACGATGCGTGGTGGCTTGCAGATGCGAGAGTGCAAATCTGCCAATTCCAGCTCAGCGTCCCCGTCCAGTGTCAGTCCAAGGGGGCCGCCTAGTCGGCTTGTGGGAGCCGTGTCGCGCGGAGATGTGGAGGGGGAACGCGTAAAGTGGTTTTGTTGTTCTCTTGGTTCTCCCTATTGAGTCCTTTCCTGTGGCCCTGTGGGAGGGTGTTCGTCGCCAACTTAGCGTGTGGTTGGTGTGCAACTCGGGCGAGGAATGGAATGGGCTTTTCGGACTAGTTCTAATTTCCATCCGAGATCTCGAGGGGAGACCCCTGGGAATATTGAACAACTGGCAGACATAAGCAATCAAACTGCCTGCTTGCAGTAGAAGCATGAGCTAGTGTGAGTGCCTCTCAGACCCAGAGATAGCAAAGTCGCGATGTTTGCAACGGCATTGACTGGACACGTCCCCAGCCTCACAGGCTACAGAGCGATCTTTATCACTCTGTATGGATGCTCGTGAACATTACCATTTTGATAGATGCCGAAGTCGATGTCCCGGTTGTGCAGCGCAGCGCTGATATCACCGTAATGCCCCTAGTCTCAAGCGATGCCCGTGGTAGCCTTCTCTAGCAAACAAATCCGAGCAGTGTTCCATTGCCCCTTTGGTCTGTGCGATATGGCATCAGAATGTCTCAGCCCCGTGCACCGGAACATGGCTGGCTCAACGAACGAGTGGTGATTGACTTGCCACGGGTGAAGAAACATAATAAGACCTGACGAGAGGCCGTGTTTGTGTTTCGAGATGATATGCTTTCTGACAACAAGCAATCGACAACGCGATAGGGGGTTGCGCGGTTTGTTGGCTAGTGCCGCAATCCGTGCCCTAGAGTTGAACCAGAACGAAGTCGTCAGCCGCGAATCTTATGCCCTTTCGAGGCCATTCAGCTGCTCAAGCACCCGCAATGCTCGGTGCTTTAGACATGCTCTGAGCCCGATTGATTGCTCCTTGCAGCCGCCGAGGCAAATTCGCCTAGGCGATGACCCCAGCATTGGCTACACAATAGCGCTGTAGACCCGGCTGACACCCTCCTCATGGACCCGGAATAGGCAGGCCGGTCGGCGCATCCGGTACCCCGTATGTGGGGATGCGACGGGGATGCAGCTTGTCTTCATTGCAGGATTCGGGCCCTTGAGAAATCCATCACGGACCGAGGGGTATGCAAAAATGCAACAACTCCTGCGTAATGCCTACAGGCAGGCAGGATCAAAGGGTAAGAGGGTCGTAGGAATTGGCGATCAGAGTCGGCAGCCAAATCAATGGTTCATATTCTTCCTGTATGCTGAGCAAGGCCGGAAACCAGCTGCTGAGGGCAGCCTCGGAGGACTCAAACCAGTTCGTAACTCCCGTGGAGTAAGTAGGGGTAGCCAACCTTCTATGTCGACGGACAGACTATATCTCGTGACTGGGCCGTGGTCCATAGCGAACGATGTGGTATCTGTTCGTGCCTACCTATCCGTACAGCCTGCTACGGAGCCTGAGACAGCGTATTCGTGTGCGACCAGACCAAGGCATAATTAGACAATCGTTTCTCCTAGAAAGGTGAGAAGTCCTGACTGTTCTACGGGGGCCCCATGCTGAACAATTTGGGAGATGTCACCGCACATGCCTTTTGGGCTGAGCTAGGTGCCAAGTGACATGTTCGTAGGAATTGATGATGAATGCACGTGTGCCAAAGTTGGTCTTTAGAGCCTCTGGAAGAGCACTGACTACGAATGATTGGCTCAGTAGGTGTCAAGATTGATGACGGCGACTACCAAGTTTTGAGGCGGACGTCCGTTCTTCAAAAAGTAAGGTGGCTGGAGTCTCAAGGCTGAAGGAGATTTGAATCAGGCGCCGTTCGTTTGTGCGCTCGGCACCCGCACCTGGAGCGGCGCGCGAGCTTGATGCAGATCTCATCTACCGTTTCCGTGGTGAAGCGAGGAGCGATAACGAACCGTCAGAACTGCATCTTGAAATGCTGCAATTGATGGTTACGAAATAGTAGAGCTGCGCGCTACCGACGCCTCCGCTGGCACGGGGCAACGGTGTCGGCTATCAACGTTTGCCGGTCGGTCAAGAATCGGGTTGACGCCTCGCGTGGATGCAGGTGTCCCCGAGGAAACTCTCCACTGTGCCCTGGTCGTGGGGATATAGCCCTTGGGAGCTTAAGGAGCTTTGCAATCGTCCCCGATTGAACCCCATGGTTGGCCGTCCAGCAAGGAAGACCAAGTGGCTCAAGTGTACAATTGTGTCGCATCCCCAAAGGCAAAGGTGTCTCTCCTTCGAAACAAGTGTTCGACTGACTGTTGCCCTGTCTGGGTCAACAAGCCCAGTGTCATCCGTATCTGTATCCGCATGGCCGCATTCAAGAACTGCTTTGAAACCTCATTGTAGCTCTCTCAGAGCTTCGGCAGCTGGTCGTTGCTCGCGCAAATTCTATGCAGGCTCGCGTCACTACATGGACTTCGATGCAACTCGCCTGGCCCTATGTAGCCCGTCGTAGACCCTGGACGGCCCGATGTGAGGCTTTGCTACCGCTTGTGTGAGGAAAGGGAGGAATTTTGCAATCTGTTAAATTTGAATAGCCAAGGAAACCGTGTCTGCCGGTGCTTGGTTCGTACTTTCGGAAGTAATCACGAGTTGTAGTTTGCAAGGGCGACTGATCATCCATCGCCGATGATATGTCACTGTGGCTGGAATGGCCAGTGACACGCGAGACAATCCGTGCTAGCCTACTCAAGAGTTTCTCTGCTGAAGCCCGAGCGCAATGTCTAGCCAATGATTCGAGGCATTCTTCGGAGGCTCGACAGGGTTCGTTGGTAAGTCGCAATTTGGGCGGTCGGTGATGGTCCCGTAAATTGAGATGCTTCACCCGAAGCAAAAGTAATGATTCAGACAAAGAAGCCACGCGAAATAGTTGCGAGATCTGTCTAATCATTTAGGCCCAAAGTCAATCAGAAGATGACGAACACTTGAGAGACCCGGCATTTCGGACAGCTCGCATTTCGCTGATGCTAACGATTTTGGTCCAAGCTTCTGGCTCCCTGCCATGGAATCAAGTCATGTTGAATTCCCGGATTGATTGATGTGGTGCCGAGCTCGACGGAGGGTTCCGCATGTGATATGGATGGGTCGATGAGCGAACTGATGCACCGATGGACACTAGATACGGCTTGGAAGACTCTGAAATGGGGAGGTGGTGCAACACTTCGCTGTTAACGAAATCGTTTTGGAATGTCCATCAGACTTGAAACGCCATGGAGTCGTAATTGTGATTGTAGACAAGCGTTGCAGCGGCGAATACGACCAAGGCACTTGGATGTGGATGGCAGGTGAATTAAGTTTGCACGGCTCTCCTTACAGGCTCGCGTGGGCGAACAGTGGTGGTGATTGCTGAGAAGCTTTGGGCATTTCCTCTTCCTGTTCCTGTTCCTGGCGACGATGCATACGCCGCTTGCTCCAAATGGGTAGCGTGCAATGAGATGGTTCCTACGTTGGGTTGACAACCTGACATTGGGTCGAATGGATGGGATGGCAGGTGGTCAAAGTGTAGCTGTTTCGTTGAACCCATTCCTAGTGGTAGCGTGTGACGCTTTGATTGTCGAAAGTGTTCAGCACGATGAGTTCATGGGCCAACCGTCGCTAGCATGGTAGATGCTTGCAAAAAGATTGAGACGAAGTCCATCTCGGCGGCCACGGTTACCTAGCCCAAACGAGTTCGCAATTGCGTGTTTCTGTATCCGTATGTCCTTACTGCTTCCTCGTATCGATTGTCGTTCATTACGGAATAGTAGAAATCTGATTCCAAGTCTGACCACTTTGAAGTGCGGATTGTACAGCTAGACTTTTATTGAGTCTCCGTTAATGACAGGCCTGTCGATTGGTTGCTGAGAGGCCAGACGAAGGAGTAATGGTAGAGCGTTGGCAGTACGGAGTAATAGCTGCCGTAGTAAGGATCCAAGCTTGCTGAGGCCCAAGCTGGAATACTACAAGTGTCTTTTCGCCGATGGTCGTTGCTTTTTCTCCTATCTTGTTGAGCCTAGCATGGCCCGGATAGACATGTCCGGCAGAGACGGGATGTGTGGGATATTGTGAGAGACGGTACGGCAGCAAGGGGAAGCTCGATGGGCAAAAATCTCTTCGTGACGGTGCCATCCGATTTGCTCTGATGGGGTCGCGAAGGGTCAACTGGATTAACGAAATGGAAGCTGTTCTTGGCCTGAGACGCAACTATCAATGTCAGAGCTCCAGCAAGAGGAGGCGCTACCGGGACAGGGTCCGCAGCAGAGCATAGGGGGAGAGGAGACGTCGGGTGTTCGGTGTTGCGTGTCATGGGATGAACCACAAGCTGTCAGTGACACCGTGCTGATCCTGCTCGGAGTAGACGTCCGTGAGCAGATGATGGTCAGTTGAGAATGGTTCAGAGTAGGGAAGTTGCTTGTCACGAGAGTTTCCGTAGCAATTGAAATTCTCACATTGGCGAGAACGTTCTTGACAACTGAATCCAATGGGATAGATTGACCGTACGGTTGCTTGGTATCCGTACTTTGTGGAGAACATTACTGTGCAGGTGCAGAGCTGTCTTATTTGCACAAGACACAGCTCCCTATGCAAAGGATAAGGTTTGCATTACTAAGACACGACATCCAGGGATCGAAGGACACAACGTGCACAAGATCTGGCGCTAGTCCGAAAGTAAACAGATGGCTCGGCCGATTGGACGGAACCGGGGACGGGAATCGGAACTTGTACCTTCCTTAGCGCGCCTGAGGCCTTGACGTTCAGCCTCGCGTCTTTTGTGCAGTTGTGGATCTGCACCGGGGCACTTCCTCCACGGCTTACCTAATGGCAGCTCGAAGCCTCAAAGTGTGGCTGACGGGATGGCGGAAAATCAACGACATGGCTTCGTCTCTGTTTGACAGCTGCGTTCACTTGTCAGTCTTGATTCCATGCAAGTGCATTCCTGTCCATACACAATTCTTTCAATCCTTCCATAAACCTTCTAGCCGACTCCACGAGCAATGCAACCCCTGCATCCAGACCTGTCAATTTCTCTCTTTTCGTCCGCCTCGCCATGTCCGAGACCCATCACCACTGTTCTCGTTTGTGGGCAAAACGTCGAAACTCCAGACACTATCGAATGCAGCAACCTTGTCAATTCGACGACGCCCTGAGGCAAACCCATCATTTCGTTATACTACGTACTACGGATACCCAGTACCTGCCTGTCCACAAGGGCGTAGTCTAAGGCACTTAGTCAAGACACCGGCTCCATCACGAATAAACCATGTGAGAATTCAACGTGAATAATCCCTTTGCTCCAAGTGGAATTAGGAGCCAGGGCCCGATACGGATCGCCCAACAAACCTCCTTGACAACTAAAGCCTTCCTCCGAGCAGCCGATACATATCCGTGACCGCCCAACGCCGAATTGCTAGCGAAAAGAAAACTGCAATTTCGGGCTGCGAGGCCGTCGCGCCACACGGCATTGAGCCGGCAAGCCACATTGCTGTGGTCTCAGCCCACTTTGGCCGGCAGCTTGAACGAGAGTTGCAGCCTGCCGCCAAACCTATCATTTACGATTTTAGGCGAAATACTTTGAAGCATCAGTGCACTTCAAGCCGCCAGCTAAGACCTGAATCCACCGAGAATCCTGTATTCTGCGAAACGTGCCACGGTTTTGTCATTCAGCCAGCGAGCGGCACTAGAAGTGGACGTCTTAACACGGTATCGGGAAGTACCGTACCAAAACCAGAGGCCCTCATGACGTGACGTCTACGGATACACGGTTCTCTCCGCCATTCTGGGCCAGTCGCAGCGGTGTTCGAGGCAACCTCACGCATACCATTGCAGGAAATATTGGCTTACCAGACCCCACGGACTGACCGCTACGTTCCAGCCTATTAAGACTTTTGCCTTTTCGCCGCCCAAGTGGACAAGTTTGCGGCAAAACCAGGGTCCAGGTGGTTGGGGAGGACCACCGAGTTACCGACAAGCCTCGGGCCTTCCAACACTTCCAAGAGTCACAACGGCGGTCAAACCGCCGCATATGCATGAGGCAAAGAAAATTTCGTTCCCGATCTCTGAGAAACTGTGCGGAGTGCTTGCATGTCGTTGCTGTCGAGACGGTGGAATGATGGGGTCAACACTGAGGAGAAAACTGCAGAAATTTTCTTCTGATATGGAAACTCGAGTGTACACTTGAGCCGCAGCTGCCGCAGGCCGTCAGCCATTGACAAATCATATTGAAGCAGATGGCGAGCAAAGAAGCTAAAAAAGTGTCACGATGCGGGACTCGGTACGCGATCGCGGGGCGGACCAGGGTCGTGACGGCGGCACGGGTTGTCCCCAGTTTTTTTTTGGCGTCGTGCAGCAGCGCACCGGTTCCTTTCTGGCACCTCCGAAGCTCCGGGTCACCATGCGGGTGCACGCTCGCGTGAGGTCATTCCACGAGTCATCCCGCCGGTGTTCATCACAGATGATTATTGGTGGCATCCGGTCGTTGCGAGGTCAAGGCTGGGGATTGCCTGTTGGCGTCGAGATCATCGCCGAAGCTTGCGGAAGCACCAAGCAGAGCGAAGAGCCCATGAGGGGCTGGAGGGGTGGCTGAAAAAACGGAGTCTCTGAACAGATTCTTTCCATGGTCACCGACGACGTGCAGCCTACGGCAACCAGCGGTGATGAACATTGAAGCCAAAATGGCTCAGGGACTTCTGCACCAAGAAGGGTTTGAAGGGGTTGTTGCCCAACATTCGAATGGGGTCGCGATGATTGCAGCCTGCAAATCGGGGATCGGCGCCGAAGAAGGGATGTGTGGCTTATGAGCAACCGCGTTTGCTACCCCGAGTCGTGATAGTTTCGTTGGACACTTCGCTCAGACCATGACTTTCTCGACAAGACGACGCATGCTTCACATTGATACATTGATGGAGCTCTTTGGACAGAGCCTCAAAGTCAACATCATACTGGAACAACCCGCAAAAGTAAAATCCAGGGTCCAGGCCTTCCCGACGGGCCCATGGTCCTTGGCCCCGGTTTGAGGCTTCAAAAACTTGCAGTTCGTGATGGGTACTGGCAGGCCCCACTGCGGGGACGCATTGTAGAAGAAACGCTCCCGGACAAGCGTTAGCAAACACCTTGGAACTTCGAACTTGATCCACACCTGCATGACCGTGGACGTGGAGTCGGGGAACCTTGGAGGCGGGCACACAGGGCGACAAGATTTTGACGCCAGTGAGGACGGTGCATGCAACCACTTGTACATGCATCGAAGGCTCGCATGCAAGCAAGGAAGAGGGAGGAGAACAGAAAGCAAAAGCCCCATACGCGAGATATGGTGACGAGGCGAAGTGAGGGGGAACATTGGAGCAAGTTGCGAGATTTCTGCAAGACCAACTGCTGGGGCTGGAAACGCGGTCTATTGCTGCAGTAGCAACGTCGGCGGTTCGAAACTATGTCGGTGCGAGATCACGGAGACCGACACGGATGCGGGCACGTTCTGCAAACTGCAGATCAAGGCTTGGATTCACCAACCAGCCCCAAAATGACGGTCCTGCTGATCACAAATGACACACTGGTCAATTGCGTGCCTTGATATCCACGGAGACTACATGTTAACCATGGGGCCAGCTCGCCTGTCAACTCTCCAGGCTGAAGACGTGCAGAAAACCGATGCTTGATTTACCTGCCCCTCCAGATTGGTAATGGGCGGCACCACAGCGTCACCACGTTGAATTGATTGAGGGGAGGGGTCGGGGGGTTCCACGGACCCGGTGCTCCGGCAACTTGCGAGGTCTCGTCCGAGGATCGCTGTCGCCCATCGCGTAGGGGTGGTTTGAATGTCGCGTATCGGCGCGTCTGCATCTGAGGACCCATTAACCTCGAACATGTCTTCACTCCGCGTTCAATCCGGGCCACACCCCGCGACGTTTTGCACAGAGTATCCTGTAGGGATCAACGAGAGACGGATCCAACATCACGCAATCCACCACATCATCCTGTCTTGCTTTAGCCGCATGCAACAATCAAATAATCATCAAAGGCCAATAGACTCGAATTACCAAAGAGGCCATACAAGGAGCTCCCAGGCTCCCCAATGGCGCGAGGGGGGAAGCTTGGGGAAGTCGAAGTGGTGGAGTGGGAACGGCAGAGCGAAGCGCATTATCTCTCGACCAACAAGACGCTATATCCCAGAGTTCGCGATAGACGAGCAGGTGGGATTCTTGCAGAATTCGGTCACGAAAGTTTGATCCAATTGTGGCGTATCGGGCTATCAGTTGGCCGGGTATGCCTCGGTGTGCGTGGCACCAGTTGCAGTGGACATGCTAGCATGTGGTGGTGGTGAGCTGGTTCGGGGAAATAATTGCATGTTTTCCTTGATTTGCGGTTTCCTCGAGGTGGTGTACGGAGCTTGATGCTGGTTCGCGACGTTCCTGAGCTGAAGATGTGGAAGTGTGTGTGCCTCTCTTTAACAGGGTTGGGAGAGGTGCTGCGGGTGAGGGGTAAACGAGGACAGAGGCCCCCTTGTCGGACCGGGGTCCTTGTCGCCATCGTCTCTGGGGATTTGGAGTCTGCGCGCTTCTACTCGTCCAGCCACCTTACGCGAACTGACAAGGCCACGGTTGGGCCTGGCCGAATCGGGAGGACCTATTGCTACTTGATGCAACCGAATAGCTCGCTAACTGATGCCACTGCTGCTGCTGTGTTGGCAGAGAGCTCGGTCGAGTTGATAGAAGGCAGGTTTCATGGGTGCAGTGCATGTGACGGCTCCATTGGCAGTTGGGCGATGGACCTGGAGGCGACGCAAACCGTATTTGGCGGCCATGGAACAGAACGGTTGCTCGTGTTTGAACGGTTCGAGAACGGCCAGATTCTGGGGAACAGGACGACTGGATTGCGGCCGCTGTTGTGTGGCACGGCCTGGGGGCAAATGATTGGACACATGACTTTCTCTTCCTTTCAACTCTGAAAATAGGCTGCCAGAGAAATTGGGGGATCTTCAGGGCGCGGATGGTCTCTCAATCTGGCCAAAGGGGGAGGTCATTGCCGACGGGAAGGTTGCGTAGCCTACCTAGTGTGAATCTGGGGGATGGCGGATCGACATCTAGATTTGGTGACAATGGCGAAAGGGAGGGAGGGGGGAGGGGAACGCGGCCGATAGACATCGCGTCGAGGGGTATTTCGAGGACCGCGTAAAGTGGTCATTCGCCAACAGAGACCACGCCATGAGAAGCATCATCAACTTTTTCTTGGATGGGGCTAGGCTTAGGTGATTCAGACCTAGTTCGGGGAGGCATTGGGCACGGGTGAGAAGCAAGGGCCTTGCACTGACCTTTGTTCGTCTGATGTTACAGGTGGCTGTTGCTTTTCTTTGACATTTTGGGGGCCTCTAAAGGGACAAAGCGGGCGTGAATACTGTGAGAGGGAGAGAACCGATCTAGAAGTATTTTCGGTATGGTTTGAAGCCAAAACGCTTTGAAGCCGATCTTGCTTACGTTCTTGATAGGTCTTTGATTCCAGCGGCCACTTGCATCATTGAAGATCATTTTTTGGTCACTGGGAGGCGCTTCGTAGACAGAGGAGCGGGCCCCTGAGTCGCGGATAACGCTTGGCGCCTTTTCTGTGCGCTCTCCGTCTCCAACGGCGCCGGTAGAGCGGAACCGCGGCTCAGGGGGTGGTCAGGGGGGTTTTGCGGTTGGCGTTAGAGCTTGAACGAGAGTCGGGAAAGGGAGGATTGAGAGTAGATTTGAGATTTTGGAATCTCTTAGATCACGAGACACTGTCAAAGGGGGAATGCCACATGGAAGTGATCTCGGACTGGAAGTCTTTTGCGGTCACGGCTTTGACGATGCTCATATCGGACGGATGCGAAAGTGGATATTGTTTTTCAGGTGTTGCAACTTTGCGAGACAGGCACGTTTGTCAGCCGCCGCCCCTATTAGTAGACACGGAATATAGCACGGCCCGGGGCAGATTGCTCGATCATCAGCCGATTCTTTTCGTCTTCGCGGAGGTGAGGAGGGCTCCCACCTGGCCCTTCATGGCCAGTATTAAGGATGAGAGAGGAATGTGTGTACCTTTGCCAACCAACATCAAATCAGCCGAACCAACCAATGTAGGTGAAAGGAGGCGAGATAGGTATCATGATTCCATGTTTCTGGAATGCGAGGAAATCACCCCCGTAGAATTTGTATGGCTCTATAGGCGCGTGTCGGAACTGCCGCCGCAACCCGGCATATCTAGACGCCGGACACGCTTGCTGCATAAATCGGGGGTGGACGGGCGCCTGCTGGCTTCAGGAGAGCCGAGATGAGGACTCGGTAGGGGGAGGGGGGGAGACCGGGGATGAGACGCGGATCGGGATAGGGATGGGATGATGGAATATGCATTGGCTGTGCTGAGTCAGTGGAGGGGCCGGGTTATGTGGTTTGGTGTGTCGGGCGACGCGGGTATGATATTCGGATGACGACGATGGTGTTCATTCACCGCGTTCTGGCTGTACGAATGCCTGACTGACTGACTATCTAGAGCATTTGGGATGCAAGCTAAGCGCGGAAATGGCTGCTCGTCCCGGCCGCTCGCTCGCTGCTGCTGGTCTCGAATAGTTTGTTTCTGCTCGGTTGAGACATTGGGCGACGAGTGGCAGGGAAACCAAGTGGCTCCGGTTTTCTCTCTTTTCTTTTACCGACCGCTCTCTATTCCACGAGTGGGAAATCTGATGGCCGATGGAGGACTGAGACCTGGAGCGGTGACGATCCCGCGTGGGGCGGTAGTTCTGATGGAGTGGTTATCTGAGAAGGATGGAAAAAAGCAACTTTATTGTACGTGTGCTCCATGGGCCCGATGCTGGCCGCTGGAACGGGCTGCGATCGGTTTTGCAAAAAAGTTTCTTTTCATCAGAACCATTGGTTCGAGTCTCTGTTCCTTTGAATCGCCTTGGCACTTGGCTCTTCGTTTTCTGTACTATGAGCCGTGTGGTTGTCTCGCGCGGCATGCCGGAAGTTATAGCTTGTCTTTTTTTACGAAAGGGAACTGCATTTATCTCACGGTCCGCTGGGTGCCGGCTTATAGTGTCTGCATGTTTAGAACCGGTCTCCGCTATTCTCAACTATCCACGGAGAGAAAGTGCAAAGTAAGAGAGAGGTTTGTTGAACGCTATCTAAGGGTCCGCAACCACCACGTCTTGGACGGGAAAACGGGGAGAATAGCAGCGGGAGAGAGAGAGAGAGAGAGAGAGAAGCTATGGCTTTTTAGTTGACGACTAAGGGAACTTTCGCAGGTCAAGGCACTGGTCACTGCTTCCTGGTGGTCGCTGCTGCTTGTCCGGTGCCCTTAATCAGTCGAAGAAACGTCCATCTCAGAGACCGACTCGCGTGGGGAACGGTGGACCGACAGAGACGGTTGCTCAAAGAAAGAAACAGCGACGATCTCGTGGCATTTCAGGGGAAGCGCGGGGGGGGGGGGGGGAAGGGAAGATCAATGGATTGCTCTAAAAGAGGAACAATGAGAAGAAAGATTTTGTGGCGTCTTTCTTTCTTGCGGCTTGAGGGTTTTGAAACGGAGACAATCGCTAACTCTGCTGCGTAGGTGACGCCAAAGCTCAAAAGGATTGGCGATTTTTTGGGGGTTCGTTTGGCGCTGAGCGCTTGTGCGGATCTGGTCTGGGAGCCTGTTGACGAACCAAGTTTCGCTCCTAGCCTCGATTGCTTACGGATGGCTGGCTGGCTGGCTGGCTGGTGTCGTGCCTGTGTGGTTCCTGGAGGGTACCTAACCATAGGCTATCCGCGTAGGAAGGGCTGTTCCTGGCTTCCGAGATGCCACAGTCTTACGACTTTTAGTTGCCAAACCTGTCGAGACTCTGGCACTGGCCATTGTGTGAGTGGGGGGGACATGTACCGTAGCACGCGTACGGAGGAGTAAGAGCCCAAACCCGCCGAAACGGGAGAAGCGTTTCCATGTCGGCTGGACCGGCGCGGGGGGGTTGTTTAATAAGGGGGAACCAAGGCTAAGTTGCGACTACGCCATGCGGCTGTGAAGAAGGGGAATAGGTTTTGTGCCAAGGCTGAATGGTGTACGGAGTACGGGTGTCTGTCAGTGTGAGAGGGGGTGAGATGGGGTAAAAGAGAACACGATGGTGACGTTGACGGTTGAGCGCGGGCTGTATGCAGGCAACTAAGTAAGAGGCTGAGTGGTTTTTTTTTTTTTTTTGGTGATATCCGCTGGTCTATATGGAGCCTCTTCGCGAGAAACGGGATCGAAACGCCATCGCCCGTCACCATCGGCGACACACGATCTTGACGCGCGGGGAAAGTCTAGGTTGATGAAGAAGAAAACCTGGAATGCTAAAAACGCGATGCACGAGAGCGGGTTCTTTTTCCTCGGTTTTGAGATTGTGTTCAGACCATTGAGTTCTGGGACGGGGCCTAGGAGGTGGTTAGGAGGTTAGGAACTCAATCATTCCAATGGTATCTTCGTCATTGACTTTGCGGAGCCAACCGGGCAATTAAGGAATCATGACATTTTTTTTTTTTGGGCAGTTGTCTGGCCAGAATGGTTTCAGTAGCGTTATGGCGGGTACTATCTGCGAATTGAGACTTTCCCAGTCATGGAATTGGAGAATCACTCGCTGCAACGGTAACTTTGGAATTATTCCATATGGGCACATTCGGTTCCCATTCTCCATTTCCATCCATGACGAATTATTGTTCCATCTCGCTTGCAGTAATAAGTCTGACCGCCTAGGATCGTCAGGTCCCCTTTTCTGAGGCGAGATTTGCAACCCGCAGAAAGTCAGTGAGTTTGTATCATTAAAGGAAGGCACATTAAAAAAAAAAAGAAAAAAAAAAGAAAAAGTCAGTGCCCACGCGCGTTCAACGGGGGATGCTAAGAAAAGATAGAAGGCCGTTGACTGGACGGAAACACGACGCATTGATATTTAATAGAAAATCCCGTCTGCCCGTTCTTTTTCGTCTTTTTTGACGTTCGCGTGCTCCCGCGTTTCTGGCATGTCTGATTGGACTGTCGCGGTGTGGGGTAAAAGTCTTTTTTGGAGATTTGGATTCGGGGTGGGGGGCACTTGCTCGACTGGGGGTAGGGAAGGCGCGCTGTGACTGGTGGGCAAGTGCGAGAGCCACCGAGAGCTCGGGAAGCCCTTTCCTTCTTCCCCTTCCTTGGTTCGTGGTGGGGCAGTAATTGGAGGGAGCTGATTGGACATTGAAAGACCTGCCCCTGTAAGGGCCAGGAAAGCGTGTCTTTTTTAGTTTAGTAGAAGCGTGGGGCAGGGCATCTTTTGAGGCTTGGAGATTAGGTGAGAGTGGTACATGGCATATTGAACTGGGCTTTGGGAAGAGCCTAAGGAAGTGAGTGCCGTAAGGTATGGAAACTACCTCACGCTGTAGGAAAGCGATCACGATGGACAATGGTAACGAAAGTGTGGTGGTGCCGAGTTTGGTGGAAGGCACTGGCGAGCTTGCAAGCGTGAGGATCCTCCGACGTGGAGACTTTTCGATACTCGAGAAGAGAAAAGAAACCAGAAGCAGAAAAAAGCAAAGTCGGGCGTTTCCTGTCCGTTCCCTCCGCGACGAGTCGTGTCTCTCCCTACGCAAAACCCCCTCCATGTGGGAAATATGATATTACTCTGATATACCATATATATACACATATAATTCTGAACGCATAGATCTTTGAGGGACTCTTCCAGGCCTCGAGGCATTGACGAACAACCAATATTCATCTCGAACATTTTCCACCTTTCTATTCGGCAGGAAAGGGACACATACTCACATTGAAGGACCAGGTGGAGAAGGTACCCGAAAACGTATCTAGCGCCGGGTGGATTTTCACGGCATAACTGCGCCGTGCTGTAGCAGCTGGAAGAACCAGGAACTATCCCACTCCGGCGTAAGCGTGCCCAGCCCTAGGATTAGGATGTGTGGATTTCACAGGTCCATGGACAGGGGATAGCCTCGCAAAAAGGATGGAGTGATGGACATGCCTACTACGTACAACGTATGTACCTAACGGCCGGGAGGTTCCATGCTCTTAACTGGCAAGGAGAGGCGCGTAATGAGAGAATATGCACGATGCATCTGGTTTCTTGCTTTTTTGTACAGGCAATCGGTGCATTCAACTGCATCCGTAAAGGAAGAGGACCAGAGAGTTCCAGGACAACTTGGACAAGTATGACAAGTCACAAGAAGCCCTCAATTCTTGTAGCTGGATCTGGACCTGCAGAGCCAATCTCCAACCAAGAACCAATTGGCAACCTTCAAGGCGACCAATTGTGTTCTCACCCCCCGGTACGCCTTGAACCGTTCCCATCGTTGTGTATGCAACTTGGTAAAGTGGTTGCGCCTCTTGGGGCCATTAGGGAGGAACATAAAAACGCCCATTGCATCCGGATAACCCAAAGCATATCCAATTAATGAGGTAAGCCAACGCTTTGCTCCACACAACCGCGATTGAAAAAGTATCGAATTGGCGGCTCTAGGCGTTTGGTTGGGTTTCTGTCGGACGCGCGCTGCGAGAAGCTTCAGCTTTCCACGCCCTGAAGTCTGGAAGGCTGAAAGTGAGCGTGGTGAGATTGGATTCCGAAGACGCGCTCGCCGAAAATGGATACCGCGACGAGGATCAGACCGTACGATGGATCGATCAAAGGGTAGTTGGATGACACCGGACAAGTCTCCTGCTAGCCCTTTTTCGGTTTCCAATCGTTGACATGAAGCAGGGGAAGCAGGATGGAAGCTTGGAAAAAAAGGTCTCTTGCACAGTTGCAAAGTCTCAGCAATCCTTCCCCCCCCTTTGCCCCCTTAGCGTCCGTTCCTGCAAAGGCCGGAAGTATCAAGTTTCCTGGGGGTGCGTAGGCCGGGCGCACGTGCCGAGAATGGGTAATTGAACTGTGAGAAAGACTGCAGCACTGGCACTTGCACTGGCTTTTCCCAGGTTTAGGTAGTCTTGAATCACACAGCACACACACACCAGACAAGAAATCCCGTGCATCATTTAATCGAACCCCTACTCCATTTACGATGGGCCGTTTTCGAATCTCGATACGTCCGAGTGTCGTGACGGACGTGTGGTTTTCGCGTTTTTGTAGTAAGAGCATGCATGCACCTCAATGACTTGTGGTGGTGGACAGTCGGAGGTTGCGGTAGGTTTTACTTGAAGCTTGAGAGCCAAGCCCAAGACCGGGACAAGGCAGGTGAAATTTACACAGTAGTCATCACGAGCCCGGTGGGAAGTAGAAGTATTCCGTTACGGGGTACAGGTGTAGATGATTAGATTCGGCCGTGAGTTGGCATTGATCGTCTCTTCATCTGCGTTTCTGGTAAGTGATCTGAGGAAAAATGCTGGGTTGCCTGAGTGGATAGAGACAAGAGTATTGTGTGCGTCCGAAGCAGTCGAGGCAGTTCAATCCTACGCAACATGATTGCACAATCGCTGGTTTGGTTGGCGACGATATGTCGGCGTAATCCATTAAATCCAAAAAAAAACAAAAAAAAAAAAAAAAAAAGTGCAACAACCAAAGAAAAATACATCGTGACATCGTCATCCCTTCTTTCCCAGCCCGGCCGCGGCCGCCGTGGCCCGTCCTCCGTCCCGAAACCGCCAACCACTGGGAACTGTGGGAAGGTGCAAAAGTGTGGCTGGGGGGTTGGGCGTTTCCTTCTAGAAGCTCGACCGCTGAGTGGATGACGGCCGGTGCGGGTGCTGTTGACATTTGACGACAACTGCAGCCTTGATTGGGTCTGCCTTCTCCGTTGTCCACCTCGCGTTTCTTACGGCAGACCACCTCACCTCACGTAACGGATACCTAGTTATGTCTTCAGTTCAATCAATTCCCATCAATTTCTCTCTGATGGAGGCCCGTCCCGACCAAGGCCCGCGCTTGAAATTTATGCGCACGATGCACAACGCACGAGGATTTGACAGACGTGCATAACAAACATACACACACCGCCTGGATCTAATGTGGCTTTCTTTTCTCGCAATGTCCGAGATGTCGATAACAAATAATAAACAACAAACAGTCTCACGATCCACGAAGATAACAACAGCATGGCCGGCTCGACCACAACCCGGGCCCTGGGAAAGGAGGCCACGTTGAAGGGCTATGTGGAATGACGGACATTATATCAATCGCCGTCCAGGGCATCGGATCCAGACATGCCATGCGAATTATCCTCGAAAGCTTATGTCACCCATTTCATTATTGCACATTACGAATACTGTATCCGTACTCCGTACCTTGCGCATCCCGTTGCACAACACGCCTGACACGATCCCGGATGCACGAGCGAGACACACAAGCCACTCTTATTTCCGTTTCTCGTTTTCTCAGCTGCGTCTCCGTACCTCGTACCTCACTTTGTCGATTCCGAATAGTTCAACTAAACTAAACCCACGAAGTGATCCACGCCTGGTACTATTGCACAGTACTTCATACGTACTGCGTACACCCGGGCTTCGAGAAGTGGACCACATAGACGGCATATCGTCGTCATTTTCCAACGCTTCATATCGCCAAAAACCAGTGCTGGGGCGGTCCCACGAAGTATTCCCACCATTGCTGCGTGTTATCCACCGGCGACGCTGCAAAGTGTACGGATACCGTGGTACCTTGGTCCCAAGCCCACGGGTTACGCCGTGAAAGCAAATTCGAACGCCACACCACACTGAACACACGAACCAGGAAACCCTGCAAAAACCATCTGAATCCGTACCGCGTCGTGAGCCAATCCCAGCGGGGCGTTCTATCCTTCCCGTTAATCCCTGCTCCCAACACCACGCACACACGCCTCTGCGTGGTATCACTGGCTTTCCATCACCTATCCATGCCTCGCCTTGCCTGGCACAAACACGACCAATTACACGCAGAAGCTTGGTGTAGATAGAATCTGAGGAAGAAGCGGCTCCAGTCTTGCTTTTCATATCCCAGGATTATCTCTTTCTACGCCAAGAAAGAGACTGAATTGGACCTGGTCCCGAGAGCCACCGTCCGTCCACTCGCCCGCAGTCCACACACACCATACACCGCTCACGTAACTCTCCCTGCTTGAGTGTACTTCATACGGGTCTTCATCGTACTACCTGACACCCGCTCGGCACGCATTGGCACAGTCCTCACTCCTCAACCTCCCACCTCATACCAACAACGGCACAGCACAACTCAATTCCGTCACGTCCACTGGTCGGTCCAGTGGGAACAACGCAGTAACCAACTACCTTGTTCAACAGGCGATTCCATACGCACCAATCATCCGTCCCGGGCGCGACTACCACCCTGCTGCCAGTCTGCCACTGCCTCAGCCTGGGCCAAGTCTGACTCTGACATCCAGCGAATTGGCCTTGTACTCCGTTCGCTCTGGGTAATCCGTAAGCCCTGAAAGAGAACGTTACCGAAGCTCCATCTCGGGCTTCTAGAGTTCCTTCAACGGAACGGCCCCAGAACCGGCTTCTACGAAACGAACAAAGACGGGCGCTGGTTGCATTTGGCATGCTTCACTCCTGAACTGCCGCAGCAATTAGCACTAGCATCAGCATCAGCATCAGTATTGTTTGGTGTTGGTTTCCTCGACCGGCCCAGTCCACCCCGTCCATCAGGCCGTTCCTTTGATCGAACTTGGTCGGCGCCGTCGAATGACATTGCCCCATTGCCTCCCAATCCCCTTCCCCTCTCACTTCAGAACCTCGATCCGTTGGCTTTGTTCGTTTGAAGTCTTGACGCCTCCTGCCCAACCTTGTCCTGTACAAGCTACTGCTTCCTCTTGCGGGCCGTATCTTACGGGTGATACCTTACGTGGAAACGTACCATATTCTCGGACACACAAAGAAACAGAGGCAGAGACAGAAAAGACTCAAGTTGAGGATAAACCAAAGGCACATTGGTACCGAGTTGCGCTAAGCCCAAGCATTATTCGAGAACAAGGAAAACGCGCGCGGAGCTGCTGCACAAAACCGGACATTTGATATTTCGGATTGGCATTGCTACCAGCCAGCCAGCCTACGGTTACGGATTACCACCACCACTGCCACTGGAACTCTGTATCTGTACGGTACCTAGCTTGCCCTCGTTGCCCTGTATTATTCGGGGAAGAGAAAGGGTGTCAAAGGTCTCGCGGGGGTGGGCCAGGCCAAACTAGGACCAAAGCTCGTCAGGAGCTGCTGCTGCTGCGCACCACCACTACTTGGTGCGCACCACAAGCACCACCAGACGTATCCAATCGAAGGCCAGTTCGCTCATTTTCACACTTTCTGACGATCCACTTGAGCAAAAAGGTACTGCTCAGCGCTCACTCTTTCTCGGCGGGCGGCGCTGTCGACAGGCATTCGGCTTGCTGGGGGTGGCGCGCGCAGACGACCGGGAGACAAGACAGGAGACACGACGAAAGGCACGGCGAGCAGCAGGAGACCGTACCGTACTTGTTAAACGTGCTTGGACAAGGCAGACAAGACAATCAGACAATCGTCAGAGAAGAGGCAGTCGACAGAACAAGCAAGCAGGCAGGCAGGCGAGCGGCGAGCGGTGTCGACAATTGGATTGTATACCTGCTGCGTCGACGCAGTCATCCTCATCCCTCGCTTCTTCCCTCGCTGCGGGCTTCATTATTAGGTACCCCGTACCAAGGCATCCATCACGGCGACAGGCAGACGAAGCAGAGACAGAAGAGAGACAGCATTGTGGTGCTACTGCTGGTCGGCAAGGAACCTAGCTCACTCAGCCTGCTTCGCGCAGCTGCACTTGCAGGGCACATCTGCAAGGAAGAAAGAGGGTCGGCTCACTGCAAGTAAAGTGAGTCCAGCGTCTCCATCTAGTCCAGTCCGTTCCTCGGTATCCGTAACGTATGCGGATTCCATACAGGCAAGTAATACCACCCAGTGCGCGGGCTACAGAACAGACGCATAGGGCAGCCTCAGTTTCGTGACTTTGTGCTTCGTACGGAGTGGTAATTGCTGACCTGAGGTGTTTGTACAGTAGTCGTCTGCTGGATTTCCTGATTGTATCCATCAGCCAGCATCAAAAGTAACAAAAGGCGCATCAGCCCAACAGCAATAGTAACTTCAGCAGGCAGGAAGCTATCTACCTTACTACGTACAAAGTCATACTAGGACAGGCGGTCTTGGAGAAGAGGTACGTCGATTCCATGTATCTTTATACTGTGCATTAGGTGCGGAACTACCTCTCGGTCATTCACGCTTCCCCCAGTCTCTCCCCTTCCCTGTGCCTAGCCTGGGCTCTTCCCTGTCGATATCACAACAAGATACTTTGGCTGTATATGCGAGAGCGGCGGCAATAGAAAGTACCGCGCCGTTTCTTGGGATCCACCTGGGGGGGACTTTGCACTTGCACTTTGGTCGACACCAAAACCAGCACCAGCGCCAGCACCAGCAGCAAGTATTTCGTACCTTTCCAAGTATTCGCACCAGGACCACCTGCTCATTCGCACCTGCTCTCTCACACACCCCTCCCCTCCCCTCCGTCCTCCCTCTCCACCTCACCCTTCCCGTTCCCCCTTCTCCTCTCGCTCTGTCTCTCTGTCTCTCTATCTCTCTCTTTCCTTCCCGTGCCTCCCTCGTTCATCCGCCCCACCCACCCTCTCTCTCCTGCTCCTTCTCTCTCACACATACTATGCAGTAGACAAGAAGGTAATAATCGTCAGGGAATACCTAGGCAGGCACGAAATACACACCTACCACAGCCAGACATTCGCACCTCCCGCCCACACACACACATCCTCAGAAAAAGGGCCAAAGCTGTACCTTTACGTAGGTACTTGGTCCTTGTACCCATCCAGCAGCGGGCCCCAAAGTACCTTTTTTCCCTCCCAACTTACTGCAAAGGAGGAGTCCCAGACGTACCGCAGTACTCGAGCCGGCCGGCCTGTTAAAACACCTTGGTTCTCTTCCAATCCTTTTTCATCTCCTCGGCCCTCCTCCAACCCTTTACCTACCCTCACCTCCCCCTTCTCTCCTCCTCCTCGTCCCTCCCCATCCATTCATTCCCTCCTCTTCCTCTCTCCCCGAAGACAGTCCTTCCTGACTCCTTTGCTCGCCGAAAACGAATAAAGGGTCTTTCCATTCTCTACTCCTCTACCCCCCCAATTG